GCTCTTTCAATTTTTCTCGTTGAAGCTGCTGAAGAGGTATTTGAAACTATTGCTGGTTTATTTTTATTTCTCGTTTGCAATTTGGGTCAGTAGCTGTCAAACACGACAGCAGAATTGCTGCTTTTGCAATGGCAGATGGCTTCGATCCAAGTGGCTTGTCTTGGGATTGAAATGGGGCTCACAGTTCCGTATTTCATGTCACCACCCAGAGCTGGGAACTTGGTTGCGCACGCCATGGAGTGTTGACTGCACGGTTCTAGGCAAAGCGGATTGACAAGCGTCTGAGCAAACAATGAAATCACAAAGCCCATTCACACGAAAAAAAGCTTCCAAAAGCATCAAAGGACAAAGGTGGGCTCTGGAGCAGTCAGACATTGGCTTCAGGAGGGCGGTGGCTGTCCGGCTCCTTCGGCTCAGCATGTCCGCGCAGCGAGGAGGGCTGTTTCGGCCCAGCGTCAGACTTGGCTCCTGCTTGCGAAGTATTTTCAAATTTTGACCTCAAGTGAGGCTGCTTCGGCCTTAGCGGTAGCTGTTTCAGCCAAGCCCTTGCAGCATCAGGCAAGCTGCTTCCGGCTGTCAAAGCTGCTTTGGCTTGTTTTGACGCTGTTCCGACTTCTCGCTTTGAAGCCGCATTACTTACTTAGTCAGTTTTTGTACATAGCAGGTCGTGATGGACTTTTCGCAAAAATAGGAATTGGCTGGGGTGGGTTGAAGCGTCAGGGTAAAGACTTTGGGTTTATGGTCGCTACATGGAATCTACAAATGGGTCGAATCTAAGAGATGATTACCCACAAATATTGGGAGATTCAACGAAAGCTTTGATTGGAGACAGGCTTGGCTACTTAATATGTGTTTTTTGTCCTCTCCTTAGGAGCATCAAAAAAATTCAACGGACCTCGAATCAACGGGTGAGAATGTCCTCTCCTTAGGAACTTCGGGGTTGTCCTTGAACATCCTAAGGGGAGGACGACAAGGGGACGAAACTGAAATACTCTTAAATATGACTTTTTCAAAGGCCTTTGTCCCATTGTTGTCCTCTCCTTAGGAGCCTCGGGGTCGTCCTTGAACCTCCCAAGGACAGGACGAATTCTCTTTTTAGGAGCATGTCTGAGATCCGCTTCGCTTCAGGAGCCTCGGCTCAAGCACTTCACGGAAGCTTGTGGCTGAAAACTGGCCACGCCATCTCTACGCCAAAGGGGCGGCAGCTGTCTTGGCTACTGTAGCTGTAGCTGCTTCGGCCACTTAGCTGCTTCGGCTTTTGGTGGCTGCTTTGGCCACAAGTATGCCACCGCGGCGTCGACGAAAGCATGCATAGTCATATGTATATATATATATACACCCAATGCAAGCAAGCCGCTTGTTGAGATGTGATGCAGGGCACAAACAGCATCCATCGCCGACACATTCCGCAGCTGCTCAGCCATAAAAAAGAAAGTTGTCAACAAACATATCTGTACAGTCACCCTCTCTCATTAGATTTGGTTGAGTATATATATATAGAGGTGCATATATATATATACAATACATAGTTGTGTATATATATATACACATGCATAGTCATGTATATACATACACATTCTATGTATATATACATATGTATATGCACATGTATATATATATATATATTCACATAACTATGTAGCCCAATGCAAGCAAGCCGCTTGTTGAGATGTGATGCAGGGCACAAACGGCATCCATCGAGTTCTTTCTGCTTCAGATCAGCCAATTTAAGTCCCATGAAAATTTATAATTTTGGCTGGGGCCCAAACTTTTTAAAGACACCATCTTCTTTCATTTCGATGTTTTACGACCTCCACAGAAGCGTACATGTTGTCCGGATACAAAGATGCCTCACCAAAACAGTCTCCTCGATATCCTTGTCTTTTTGATTCGGGTCAAAGCTGTGTGGATTTGAGTCCCATCGAGAATTTTAATTTTCGAATATTTTCGATGGGGCCCAAACTTAATAGAGTCACCGTCTTCTTTGGTTCAAATGTTTCAAACTTTCTGGAGGCACTATCTTCTTTAGTTCTGCTGTTTTCCGACTTGCAAGGCCGCCTACATGTTGTTCGCATGCGCAAGATGCTTCACCAGAATTTAAGCTCCATAGCGTTCTTTCTACCTCAAAACAACACTGTATCGATTTGAGCCCCATGGACCATGGAAGATTATAATTTTCGATGGGGCCCAAACTTTTTAATCGAGTCACCATCTTCTTTGGTCCACATGTTCCAAACTTTCTAGAGGCACCATCTTGTTTGGTTCTGATGTTTTCCGACTTGCAGCAACCACCTACGTGTTGTTCGCATGCGCCAGATGCCTCACCAGAATTTAAGCTCCACAGCGTTCTTTCTACCTCAAATCAGCACTGTATCGTTTTGAGCCCCATGGACCGTGGAAAATTATAATTTTCGATGGGGCCCAAACTTTTTAATCGAGTCACCATCTTCTTTGGTCCACATGTTCCAAGCTTTCTAGAGACACCATCTTCTTTGCTTCTGCTGTTTTCCGATTTGCAACAGCCGCCTACCTGTTCTTCGAATGCACAAGATGACTCACCAGAATTTAGGCTCCATAGCGTTCTTTCTACCTCAAATCAACACTGTGTCGATTTGAGCCCCATAGAAAATTATAATTTTCGATGGGGCCAAAACTTTATTATCGAATCACCATGTTCTTTGGTCCCCATGTTGCAAGCTTTCTGGACGCACCATCTGCTTTGGTTCTGCTGTTTTCCGACTTGCAACGGCCGCCTACATGTTGTTCGCATGCGCACGATGCCTCACCAGAGCTTAGATTCCATAACGTTCTTTCTACCTCCGGTCAACACTGTCTCGATTTGATCCCCATGGAAAATTATAATTTTCGATGGGGCCCAAATTTTATGGAGTCACCATCTTCTTTGGTCCACATTTTCCAAACTTTCTGGAGGCACTATCTTCTTTGGTTCTGCTGTTTTCCGACTTGCAAGGCCGCCTACATGTTGTTCGCATGCGCAAGATGCCTCACCAAAATTTAAGCTCCATAGCGTTCTTTCTAACTCAGGTCAACACTGTGTCGATTTGAGCCCCATGGAAAACTATAATTTTCGATGGGGCCCAAACTTTTTAATCGAGTCACCATCTTCTTTGGTCCACATGTTCCAAACTTTCTAGAGGCACCATCTTGTTGGGTTCTGATGTTTTCCGACTTGCAGCAACCACCTACGTGTTGTTCGCATGCGCCAGATGCCTCACCAGAATTTAAGCTCCATAGCGTTCTTTCTACCTCAAATCAGCACTGTATCGTTTTGAGCCCCATGGACCATGGAAAATTATAATTTTCGATGGGGCCCAAACTTTTTAATCGAGTCACCATCTTCTTTGGTCCACATGTTCCAAGCTTTCTAGAGACACCATCTTCTTTGCTTCTGCTGTTTTCCGATTTGCAACAGCCGCCTACCTGTTCTTCGAATGCACAAGATGACTCACCAGAATTTAGGCTCCATAGCGTTCTTTCTACCTCAAATCAACACTGTGTCGATTTGAGCCCCATAGAAAGTTATAATTTTCGATGGGGCCCAAACTTTATAGAGTCACCATCTTCTTTGGTCCACATTTTCCAAACTTTCTATAGGCACCATCTTGTTTGGTTCTGATGATTTCCGACTTGCAACGGCCGCCTACCTGTTCTTCGCATGCACAAGACGCCTCACCAGAATTTAGGCTCCATAGCGTTCTTTCTACCTCAAATCAACACTGTGTCGATTTGAGCCCCATAGAAAGTTATAATTTTCGATGGGGCCCAAACTTTTTAATCTAGTCACCATCTTCTTTGGTCCACATGTTCTAAGCTTTCTAGAGACACCATCTTCTTTGCTTCTGCTGTTTTCCGATTTGCAACAGCCGCCTACCTGTTCTTCGAATGCACAAGACGACTCACCAGAATTTAGGCTCCATAGCGTTCTTTCTACCTCAAATCAGCACTGTATCGATTTGAGCCCCATGGACCATGGAAAATTATAATTTTCGATGGGGCCCAAACTTTATAGAGTCACCATCTTCTTTGGTCCACATGTTCCAAACTTTCTAGAGACACCATCTTCTTTGCTTCTGCTGTTTTCCGATTTGCAACAGCCGCCTACCTGTTCTTCGAATGCACAAGATGACTCACCAGAATTTAGGCTCCATAGCGTTCTTTCTACCTCAAATCAACACTGTGTCGATTTGAGCCCCATAGAAAGTTATAATTTTCGATGGGGCCCAAACTTTTTAATCGAGTCACCATCTTCTTTGGTCCACATGTTCTAAGCTTTCTAGAGACACCATCTTCTTCTGTTTCCGATTTGCAACAGCCGCCTACCTGTTCTTCGAATGCACAAGACGACTCACCAGAATTTAGGCTCCATAGCGTTCTTTCTACCTCAAATCAGCACTGTATCGATTTGAGCCCCATGGACCATGGAAAATTATAATTTTCGATGGGGCCCAAACTTTATAGAGTCACCATCTTCTTTGGTCCACATGTTCCAAACTTTCTAGCGAAACCGTCTTCTAACTTTTTCCACTACCCATGCTTCACATGTTATAGGACTGCAACTTGAAACTTACACTTCTTCTGCGACACCCTCTTGCATCCTTCCATGTGGATCACTCTCGTCTACCCTTCCCTGCATGTTTCCGAGTGCACCTCACCTAGTTCCACATTCATTTGCCATTTAGCTTTCGTTCGCCCCCCCCTGGGCCTCAAGTATAAGTTTCTGAATGCCAGTTTCAAACCTGCTAAAGTTACACATTGAGGTCCATCCCCTGCATTGTTGTTCTCCAATGCATCACAACGAGGAAACTCTGAACGCTCAAACTCCTTTTGTCACATGGTATCACAAATCAGCGCAGCAGTTTCATGTTGTATATAGATTCGTTGCAGTTCAAGCAGCTGCATACAACAATTTGACAATGTTTTTACAAAATCTCTGAGTTTTCCTATGAAGGTTGTTACATTTGTATTCCAAGGCCAAAACAATGGATATGCGTCCAGCGGCAAGTCCAAAGTCCACTCCAGTTCTCTCGAAGCATTCGGAGGATCAGCAGCATCTTATTGACCAATGGGGCTGGTTGGATTCGGGCTGCAATGGCTTGGGTAGTGGCTAGAGAGTGAATGTATGGAAACCTTTCTAGTCCAGCTGAACAAGAAAGGCTTCCTCAAGATCTCAGTCCACTCAGATGTTTCTTCCCTCCTGCCCTGATGTCCCCCTCTCTCCCATTTATCGCAGCTAGATTTCTTGTCTGTCAATCCATCTTTAACTGAACATGGAGCACTGAGCATTGTCAATTCCAGTGCTCCCCTGCATGTTACTCAATTTTTTTTATTAAACTAGCTACAGACCCGGAAAGCTTCCGTCTAGCCATCCAACGCTGTTCGTTGGAAATGTAAGAGTCAAACACATCAAGCCTTGATTTCCAGCTATATTCCTGATTGTAATGGCAAATCTTCCTGAGCTTCTGTCCAAATCAAACACGGTACTGCTTAGACTGAAACCATGGCGCCACCCGTGAAGGTTGAGGTGGACAGGGGTTTATGTCCGGAGGAGCTGGTCAGCATTTTGAAAAAGCTCCCAGCGGCCGAGCTTAAGAGGACAACTTGCCCATTCCCCTTGGATCGATATCTATGATATTCTATATTATTCCATGATATTTAGTGACATTTTCTGATACTTATATGTATTTATCGTTTTTTTTTAAATTGGCGTGTGTCAGATATTTGTTTGAGTTTTTCCCGAGAGCGTCTGAGCGCAGGGTTCTTCCAATAGTGGGGGTCTGTGAAACATCTTCTCATCTTCACATCTTCTCATCTTCACATCTTCTCATCTTCACATCTTCTCCTCATCCCTCATCTTCTCATCTTCACATCTTCTCATCTTCACACCTTCTCATCTTCACATCTTCTCATCTTCACATCTTCTCATCTTCACATCTTCTCATCCTCACATCTTCTCCTCATCTTCTCATCTTCACATCTTCTCATCTCCTCATCTTCTCATCTTCACATCTTCTCATCTTCACATCTTCTTATCTTCACATCTTCTCACATCTTCTCATCTTCTCACATCTTCTCACATCTTCTCACATCTTCTCACATCTTCTCACATCTTCTCACATCTTCTCACATCTTCTCACATCTTCTCACATCTTCTCGCATCTTCTCACATCTTCTCACATCTTCTCACATCTTCTCACATCTTCTCACATCTTCTCACATCTTCTCACATCTTCTCACATCTTCTCACACCTCCACTCACATCTTCTCACACCTCCACTCACATCTTCTCACATCTTCTCACATCTTCTCACATCTTCTCACATCTTCTCACATCTTCACATCTTATCATCTTCACACCTTCTCATCTTCACATCTTCTCATCTTCACATCTTCTCATCTTCACATCTTCTCATCCTCAGATCTTCTCCTCATCTCCTCATCTTCTCATCTTCACATCTTCTCATCTCCTCATCTTCTCATCTCCTCATCTTCTCATCTTCACATCTCCTCATCTTCACATCTTCTCACATCTTCTCACATCTTCTCACATCTTCTCACATCTTCTCACATCTTCTCACATCTTCTCACATCTTCTCACATCTTCTCACCCCTCCACTCACATCTTCTCACGCCTCCACTCACATCTTCTCACATCTTCTCAC